ATGCTCTTATGTAAATTTGGTGTTTCTATGGTCAAAATACATCATATTTTAATAAATCAGTATACAATCAATGCAATTGTTGCCGTACATGTGCTTCTATTGGAGATGCTCTTCTAATAGAGCATATATGCTATACAATCTAAATGCAACCAGTGTGAAATTGTTTTTGAAATTAATATTGAAATGCAATATTAATTTTCCCTCTGCTATTAATTAATCCACAAACCAGAATTATTGACATCCATTTATATATGACCTAGTTTCTTCTTGTACTTGATGTCCTCTTATCTTGGCAGGAAGAATTGCCATATTTTTCTCTAAGTCATATAGTGACAAATATTTTTTTTTTACACCGGTGAAGCAGCAATTTTTTTTTTTGAAGAACCCTTCACTTTGCAATTTTTTCTTTTTCTTTTCTGACCTCCCCTCCCCTCAAAAATCAAATGGTCCAACCCTTATTTATTCCCAATTTGTTCAAATGTTCCGTCTTTCACAAAACGTTGTTCTCCTCTTCGTATTCTATAGACAATATTCATATTTAGATACATCGGTGTAAAAATTAAATTTGATGCGATGATAGTTCACTTGAATCTAGAGCAGTTGTCTACGATGTGTGGTCACCGTGAGATCAATCATCATACGAGTGTTAAACATTATACCGGTACATGCAAATACCAGGAAGAATGATTCTACCATTGTGAAATAGCGCCATGTCGACCATCTTTGATCTGACTGTGAAACTAATTGACTAAAAAAACAGTATGATACAATTTGACGATGTCTGCCAGTTGGCCATCTTTATCTTATCACAAAACAATGTATCCTAACATGTATAATGTATGTAGATACCACATTTTCAAAAAAACAAAATGGCTGCTAGTTGGCCATCTTGGATTGAATCATACATCACACATAAAGACACATGCAAAGAATGGAGGGATTCAGACCAGGGGACAGATGAACAGAAGTTTCTTGTCATTATTCAGGAAAGTGCAGACTATAATAAATAGGATTATTTTGTAAATTTGTTGAAAAGAAGGAACTGGCGGTGAACAAGTTAGAACAAATTCATGGAATGACCGATAAATCTTATGAAGTTTTCATAGTTTCTGATATTATGTTTTAAACATAGATTGTTCGAGTTGGTGTTTTTGCTCAATTAAATTTCTTTTTAAAAACAAAAACCTAGACTTAAACTTTGAGTATGTTTAAAATGTTTTTTTTTATTAGTAAGTACAATGATTTAAAAATGTAACAATAATAGCAGCTCTTTGAATAACAATATTAAATTTTTTATAAAACAACAACAGACACAAGTGACAATACAAATTGCTACTAAAAATACAAATGTTTTTATCCTCTTTTTGTTGTTGATCCAGTAACATCAATTAATCAGTGTTCAATCACAATGTATTGTATTTAAGCTGAGTGTAAACTATTAGCGTTCATTCTCCAAGTATTGACTGTGCATGCTGAATCAGTCTCTGCCACAGGCAAATTTGAGTTTCTTGTATTTAACAAGTGTGTATGGTGAATGCTTGAACATCAATAGTGATACGCAAGAACAGTAAAATGACGAACAGAACGTTATGATCTCACTTAACCGGAAAGCATTTGTTTTCTGTAATTTATTGGAATAGTTTTGACAATTACATTGCTAGTCCCATTTACACGATTTTCATGCTGATCGTTCTACAGAAAGCGACGGTGAGGCTGCTTCACATCATTGTGCTCAAGAGCAGGCCTACTTTTTTGTGTTTGGCAGCAGTTCCATGGCTGTTCATCAAATTTGCTGAATTTTGGCTTGAAGAAATGTTTTTATATAAAATATATAAAAACACATCAACCATAAGTATAGTTCCTCGTATTTAGGTGTAAAATGTTGCCTATGCCAGAGACTGATTCTGTCCTTCAACTATGTCACCAAGAGCAGAAATCAGTTGAGGCTTGGAGAATGGCATTCCCTTTGTAACTATGGTAATAATGAGGTAAAATACAAGCAATGAGCAAAAATGTAGATGCGCATCCTGAATAATAGATCTAGGATAAAAACATTCTATATATAATTTGATATTTACAATAGCAGATTCAGTCAGGCAGTGGTTGCCATGGCAACATTATTTACTGGAAATTTTGCGGTTTTGAAGCCTTTTGAAGCTGTACATACGAGGAATGCATCATATTTTTTGTGAATACGCATTCATTATATTAAACCCTGTATACTGAACTTACCTGCCCTTCACTTTATCTCCCCTTGATGTTCATTACATCATTAATTACAATTAATGATGATACTGGTAATGGAATTAATTAATTTTCATTTATAAACATGTGAAAATAATGCGTTTTTTTTCATGAAATTGGTCAGAATCACCAGTCTGTCGTTTCAATACAGTACTTGGAAATGAGGTCACCCTAACGTGATGCTTATACTAAAGAGTTAGTTTTGAATATTGCAAAATTGTTGTCTCAGTTTCATTCCCAGTCTCGTATTCCTTTAAAACGTATCCTTTCCTTGCAGGTACGCCAGTGAGCAATGCTTCCCTCCAATCCCCTGTGTTGTGGTAAGTTAACAAAATATCAAAAACTTGATTAATTGCGAGTATTTTGGAATAACTGAATTTTCCATCTGTTTTTTCCATGTACTCGGCAATCGGGAGATGAGCCGTATAAATTTCATTCACATCAGCATTACTCAGTGTAACGTTTTTTTGTGGTGATTCGTCAACTAGTCCGCCAATGATGTACACTTTATCTGGGTCTAAAGTTTCCAAAACATTGCTGGAATCTGGTGACAGATAAACAATTTCATCCTTCCTAAAAATATCAAAGTGACTATTTTCAACCTTATCGATGATATAGTCTTCAAATCCACAGTTCACCCGCACACATTCTTTGTAAATTGTACCCTCTGTGTCCAAATTGGTGAAGTACACATGAAATGGTTTCTGAGCTTGACGGTTGGAACCATAGAGTCTTCCAAGCTGTTGGGATAGTTTACAGATTTCTTTTTTGTCCATGTTTTTTTCAAAGCCACAGTCTATGCAGATACAGAGACCATCTTTCATTGCATTTTTCAATCTTGTTCGTATCATTCGACACCTGTCTCTTTTAGTTTCTTTCCCTTTCTCTGTATGTGCAGTGTTTCCTTTAAGTACTTCTGTTGATTGACCAACTTCATCATCTCCATCATTACAGTCGCAAACTTTTTCCTCTCTCTTTCTCGCACGCCTTCTTTCCTTCTTCTCCTTTCTCTTCAGTTTTTTTAATTGCACAATAGCTTGGTACTTCTTCAGACGTTTTTCAGCTTTCTTGGAAAGTTTGCAGCTTGATTGTATTGTTGTTTGTTCATCTTGTATAGAACTGTCACAATCTTCCAGAATAGAACTCTCAGCCATTCAGCTAGCTAGTGGGTTCCTCCAATCAATCACCAGCAATATGATATGGTATCAGTGCTCCACTATAACCCTTCAATTTAAATAACAGAAATGTTAGGTAAGTGAGATAGAGACACTAGTAAAATGTATGCTGTACAATTTTTGAAAAAGATCAATGAGTTTCTATGATAAAATCAACTCAACCAATTCAAAAGGGAAAGAATTAGACCTATTAGCACTAAAGACATGTAGGGTATCTATCAGTAATGGTCCCTTAGAGGGCGGCAGTCGTCGTGTCACGTCCTGTTCGATATGGGACTCATAGCGACGTATACAACGCGTGTAAAATACATTGTTTATTTACATGAAATGCGAACACGCGCTGCGCAACGACCACCACACTTTAAACAATGGAGATTAATTCAAGCTGTTGTAAAACAGCTCCCATCAAGTTCAGGTCAGGTTGTTTTTCATCGGCTTTTAAGTTACTGCATAGCCACAAATCAGATATACCAGATTATGTGTCTATGAATATAACCAGCAGTGATTGTATGCCACAATTACTAATACAAATTGTATATATGTGGAGATTTAATCATCAAAATAGAGAAACTGAATTGGATGTTTAAATCACCCACGATAGCAGTAAATTTGCCAATGTTAGAAAAGAAATCTATGAATCCTCAAAAACAAAACAAAAAATTCGCAATTAACACATATTCATACCATCAAAGATTTATAAGATGAGGGTACACAACTGGTGTAAAATGCAATGAAAATCTTCATTCTAAGTCATGCAAATAGCAAGATGATCAGAAAAATGCAAAACAAGCCTTTATTTCAAGAAATATGATACACATGTACAAACAAGTAATTTGTTAAAGAGTCTTATAAATCCTTGATACCATCAAATATGTCACATATGGTAATAATTCCCAAGCACCAGTAAAGTACCAATATCACTGTGCACTTTGCATGTACAACGAGCTCACACAATGATTATATCGGTAAGACTGATCAATTCTCAGTAATTGTGATAGAAAGAACAGTGTTCAGGACTGAGTTAATTGACTTTACAATATTTCATGCAATTTGCTTCAGTGCCTGTAATCCTGGAATTTATGTTCACTAAATGCAAGTGTTGTTTCATAAAAATATAGTATTCATCACAACTTCCCAATAGTTCTGGACAACCATGAGTATCCACCCTTTAACTACATATAATTTTTTCACATTATGGTAAATTGCTCAAAAATCGTCATTTTCAAGGGTGTTTGACGGACAATAGTTTGGTGACCACACCCTTTTATCTGAATTTTTTGAGCACAAACATAAAATAAAGCCATATGGTAAATTGAAGGAAATCCGGGGTTTTAATGCCTGGTAATGAATCTGATTTGTATTGTGTGAGAGTTCCAACATAAACGTTAGAAATAAGATTCGTGGTTCTAGATATGATCTGGCTGTTTTATGGGTGATATTTACACAGGGGCTTGACAACACTCCAACAAGATTCATGTGAATACGACCAGACGTTTGCAGCGATCGAGCTCTATGCTCTCACCCAAAGCTTATGCATTGACAAAATATTATCAAAATCGACTAAAAAAATAATTATTTGAGAAAATACATACCAAAATCAGAACAGAAACAATTGCCTTTGGAATATATCAAGATAGGCAACTAGCAGTTAACTGGAAATGTGTGTTCTGTCCCGGCGTGTACCGATCGAAATGATGACATCCGAGGAAACCCACTGATCGATTCAGCTGTTCTATTTGACCCATGACCCGAAGAGCGCCACCACTTATGCGCTGAAAACAAGTGCGCAGACGTCGTCAAAACAGACTTGTTGGATTTTTCTCGATGACAAAATGGCACAACGGAAAGGAGCGGTTGCGAAAGGGGGTATGTGGCAGGGCCATACTGTTTCCTATAGTAAAGAAACACAGGAATTACTGAAAGGTGAGTTTTTGCAATCGCTTAGTCCCTACGATGTGAGAACGATGGAATTTGGCGATCGAACGCCAGTACGGCCGAGGCCGGTAAAAACTTGTCGATCTATGAATTAAATGGGGGAAAATAGTATTACCAAGGCAACCCGACGCTAAACGACACACTTGATATAACTGGAATAATCCCCGTATGATAACGATAACGTCATTCTAGAGAGTAATAGTTTGTTTGGTCGATCAAGACGAACGTGTGAAGTGTCCGAATAAGTAAATGCAAACATCCAACGAAAACAAACGAAATTTCGGGACGACGGGGAATTAGGCAACATATCCCGGTGTCACGGCCTGGTGATTATGCATTATTTATTTGAGTTGCATATAAGGTATTTAATACAGAACAAAAAATAAACAATTAAAGTCTGTAATGAAAATATTTGTATATCGTGCAGAAGTCTTGAAATTTAATTAAATTCAATGCATTATTTGTTATGGTGCCTATAACAAGCGTCTTCTACTTCAGATGTGATTTTCATCTTTTTCTTTTTTCGTATATTTCAAGTCATGATGGCAGAATCCAGATTAACAAATTTCCAACAGAGACAAATAAACAATGAAATGAGAGGTGAGTGTAAGGTGTTTACCACTTGAAAGATGGGATATTTATTTTTGACTAGCTGTCTAGTATGCAATTACTAGCATGCCCGATGTGTGACCCCTCAAAAAGTTATACATCCTGGTACTTTTGAGGGGGGGGGGTACAAATTCATTATCAATGAGAATTTCTTGAAATCTCCTCCAAATGCAAGCAGTTGTCAGTTGAGAGCAGTTAAACATGAAAAAATTGATTTGTAATATAATATTGGAAATTATTGCTGTTATTTGGCCAGAATACCACCAGAAAGTACCAGGATGTGTGACCTTTAGGGGTCGTGTGTGAAGGTTATTCCATTGTAGTTACTAAAATTGTTTTAAAAGAAAGTATTCTAATTTGAACACCCTTTTCCCAACAATATCTACCCCAGGATTTTGACTTGATTACTTAATGTATGTGTAATATCAGGGTTTGATTGCTGCATGTAATAAATAGGAGTGCATTGCGCCCACTTATCTGTATAAAAACTTGTATAGCCAGAGATTATGGTCAAGAGTGTACTGAGTAAAAGAACAAATTGTATCATTCAATAATATTCTGTGGGAAAGTGTTATGGCTTTTTGTAAATATTTTTTAGCATCTTCAATAATATCAGATCTCTTGTAAATTTTGTCTGTGAAAGTGTCAGCAATGATGAATTCAGTCACTACACTTCAGTTCAAGGAATCAGATTAGTACCGGTGGATCAAGTTTCAGAAAAAGTGAAATGAATTGAGTCAGGTATTGAAGGGTACACAGTACATAAAATGTTAATGAAAAACATGTCTGAGAATGTACCATGTTTCATTCTGCGAACTTTAACTTTGAGCACCATGTCATGATTAACAATTCAGAAAATTACAAAGAAAAATTATATGGGTTTAAAATTTGTGAATAATGACAAAAGTTAATTTTGGCACTCAAAGGGTTGAGGAATGACTTTCATTCTTTTTTTTCATTTTTTTCTTCTCTTCTGTAAATTTGTTTGCATATTTTTCATGATCAACACAGGAGGTGGAAATTTACCCTTGAGAGTACATCCAACCAGCAGTGCAGAACCAGCAGCCCCTACACCACCAAGACCAAAGAGTAAAAGAGTTGATGCTAGGAATCATAAACCAGGACTGAGATCAAAAGACGTTATTGAAGGGCGCATGGACGAATATAAATCTGATTACCGACCATTGCCAACAAGTAAGTTTGAATGTAAAGTCTAATTCAGGGTGTAGGTTTTCCAGAGCTGGATTATTCTGATCATGGATTATTCTCAGAACCTCAGTGTTCTGATGTACTGCTAGAATAACAAGTAATCAATACCGTATTTACTCTATTACTATCACACACTTATGATAGTGATAAAGGCGTGTCTATGGTTAAATAAAAGTTATATTTTATTGACCCCGTATACAGTAAATGCAATTTGTCATTGATATGCACTTTTATTGGAGTGTGGTTTTTGTAATAGAGTGAATACGATACTCAGAGTGGTTGCTAAATTTATAGTGATTTTGTACTGTTTCATTTTTTTTTTTCGTTACGCTAAATCATGTTTGTTTGATTCCATCTTTCATTGATATAGATGCATTGAAAAAGTTCTGTCTGAGTGATGTCATTGTCTTCGCTGTTGTCCCTATGGTATGGTGTTATGTAATCAATAGACAGGTGTTACAGGCTCAAAATTCAGGGTTGCCATGAAAACCCTGCACTTAATGCCTTCACCTGGTTGTCATGGAGCTGTCAATATTTCCCTCATATATTATCAGTGTAATGCCATTTTAAAAGCTTTCTTGGGTGTTTTTAGAATACCAAAATTTAATCCCTTCGATACCTAAATAAAAATGCTTCTTTGCTTTTCGCCAACAAGCCTTGTTTTCAATAAATACAATAACTTTTCACAATGAACTGGATCAAAAAACAAGGTTTTATATTATAATGATAACAAAAGATGCCAAAATAAAATGCAGCTCAGCATATCAAAGTTGTGGGTGTACATTATTAATACCTGGCAACAACACACAGACACATTACTTAATATGTGTGTAAACACACTTGCAAGTATGTACATTGTACGTGGAAAAAAAAACATCCAACAAGACAGCCCTTTGTAGACCATAGACAGTTATATTTTCTTTATAATTAGACAATACATTTAACTTCAATGGCCACTGTGCTTTGTGAAAATTGAATATAAGAAACCCATTCATTTGCTCTGGCTGGTCATTGAGCTGATTTAATTGCATCTGAAATCAATGGTATGTCAGTCAGGTCATCTCAAGTTCATTGTGTGTGTACAGTGGAAAAGATTGTGTTTAGATTTAGTGTCTGGAAAACTTATATTAATATTAATCTTTATTTTATTAGCTCCGCTGTCCACTTTGACGAGCGGAGCTTATCATATGAGTGACTGACCGCCCTCATCTGTCGTCCGTGTCAACTTTTTACTTTTTTGACTTTTTCTTGAAAACTACAATTTTTATTGCTTTGATATTTGGTGTATCTGTACCCAGGGCAGACCTCTCTTAGATTTGTTAATTTGCTAATTTTGATAAATATTTTTGTAATTTTTGATAAAAAGTGATATTTTCGACTTCTCGTTGAAAACCGCAAGTCCGATTGCTTTGATATTATTCACATAGGTGCTATAGGTGGACCTCTCTCCGATTTTTTCATTTTGTTGTCATATCTTTAATTGAAATTGCTAACAACGGAGGTTTCTCAGCCAAGAGGCTGCTTGTATTTGATAACAATGAGATAGAAATGTCAGTTAAGTTTGTTGAGACATTATTGTGTGAAAGCCCCTACTGAACTCACACACACACTAACAAGGCATTTCATTGCTTTTCACAACCCATGTCTATACAAAGACCAAGCCATTCTAATATTTGTGAAATAAATATTTTCTTTTCTGTGAGTCTCAAATAAACATTCCTCATTTATTGTTCATTCAGTTTATTGAACTGAATTACGTGTCCAGTTGAAATGTTGCCATTGTCGTGGGAGGCTACATGTAGTTATTAGGTTTTTATTACATACTGTGTACGTGAGATTTCAGTAGTCTTGTGTCTCAATACAAGTAGTCATGTGTTATCTTAATGAATCAATATTTTAACCAAATTAAGCGCCAAAGGCCATTGTTGTCATCATTTACAAAATATTTTCTACATATTTTTTTCAAAATTTTGACCTGCACGAGCAAAAAATTATGGGGTAATTTAAAAAATTATTGTGCTTCAAAAGGTTAATTAGATTATGTGGTAATTATGTTTCATGCTTTCATGATGACATATCTATTGGATAGATGCACTTTGACATTTACAATAACTCCTAGCTTTTAATGTTGCACAATATATGTTTTGGGGATATTGGAATCAAACCTACAGTGAATTGCTTCTGTAACTTTAAAACCTTTCCAGCTCTTTAAAATAAGCAATCTAAATATAAACCCAGGTTTGTGTTTCAACCTCACATTTTCATTAAAGTGGGGGTTCATGCAGTTAACTATTATAAATAACAAATAAGTTGGCATGGTTTATTTTTGTTAGGTTTTTTATTCATTGATTACTGTTACCGTAAAATCTGTATTAAAAGCTGCATCCCTGATAGCAGCTGCACCCATTCTTTTTGAACAATTGAGAACCAAAAATTCACAATTTCTCATATGTGGAGATGCTCTAATAGAAGGCGCATCCCCTCTGTTGCATTGTATCATTTTAATAGAAGCCGCAGCTTCTAATAAAGATTTTAAATACTCATTCTTGCACTGCCCTTTTATACATGTGTAACTCCATAATCAAGTTTTGATGTATTGTTATAAATAGGTGGATATTTGTTTTTGTTTATCTCACAGAATCACTGGGGGACAAAGAGAAAGATAGGTTGTCCCACATAATGGCATACGGTGAAGATTTACCCAAGATGACCAATCAAAGATTAGAACAAATACTGAGACCAAAGACGCCGCCTAAAGAAGTGGATAGGTTTGATGAGTGTAAGTATTGCCCCCATGTTTTAGAACCTGGAAATTCTAGAATTGCTTCCAAGCTCTTTACTTGGCAGTACATACCTCATCGCTGCGATATTAATCATTTCTGAATGCTCATCATGATCTTCAAACTATGCTTTACAAGGTCTTTGCTTTCATCAGTAATTTTTAACAACACTATCACCACTTCATCTTTTGCCCTTAAATACTCTGAATCATTCACCCATCCGATAGTGTGATCTATTCTTTTGAATTTCCTAAAACTTTGTAAAAGTCTGTGCTCCTTGTTTCTTAGACTGGCTACAAATTGTTGTAGCTAGGAACCCACATGGCTCCCGAATTCTGGAATGTTAACTGAAAACTAACATGACAATAACATTCAATTTAGAACTAATGATCAAGTTATTAAGAATGGTAACACTTGTGAAATACAACACTATTCACTAAGTTCAATTACCCACCATAGATTCTATAGACCTGGTTCGTGACGTGAGGGAAAATCTTGAGGTCATGGGGCTTCCCCTGACCTTGATTTATTTCTCCGTCATTGGCTGAATCACAGATTAATGCCTACAGTTCAAAATAGTCATTTTGACTGATCGGAGTCTATGGTGGGTATGAACTATGTGAATATGGGTTCCAAGAACCCTCTGCGTAAGTCACACCTCTTTTTTTTTTATGTAATTTTTTTAATATATACATTATCTACATCTAAGTATTTAAATTTGTTTCCTTCTGTACAGTACAAGCTGAAGTGGAAGAAAGGCAAGCTTTTCTAGCGGACATGGAGTCACTGGGAAAAGGAAAAGAATTCCGTCCAATCATTGCAACTGAAATATCCAGGGTGAGAAAGACTCATTTGTAGATTCCGGTATTCAATTATTAAATGTTATTTGTCACAAAGTAATATGGCCTTAAGTGTTCAGGAAATCGTTTTTGTTTTTATTAAAGTCCCTGTAAATGTGGAACAAATCAAATTTTAAAACTGATTTAGGCGTAAAAATCAAAATTAGCGGGCATGTCATTAATTTAAATTAGGTGGGCAGATTATAAATTACATACAGTACTAGTATGTTTCGTCATCAGATGACTGTATGGTGCATATTCTTCACAATAATTTCAACAGTATTGAAATGTAACTGATGTTTGTTTTGTAGCGCCCTTTAGTAGATTTAATAAAAATTCTTTTGTTTTTTTTAATTTACTGAGATGATGTTAGACATATTGATGATATGGAATTGTGGTGATGAAACACAGACAGAACAATTATGCCAAGAATGATCCTATTTATGTATTTTTGTTTTCTTCATTCACAGTCAATACGAGAGATGGAAATTATAGATAAGCAGCGAACGGCTGAATTAGAGAAAGCAATAGCTGAACGAGAGAGGCAGCGACAACTATCTACCAAACGAGAAAACACTATTCCACTCCCGGACGTTATAAAAATGGAAAGTGAGAAAAGTACTTTGTCAACTAAAAGCGTAAAAAGTGATACAAAACCATCCATGTCTACAGTTGATATTTTAGCCGACTTCCCTGACAAGTCATAATACGCCTCTACTTACGAACTTTTTTTTTGAAATGAATGACTCTTACTGTAACAATGGTTTGTACCCCAGCTATATATACATATTGAGTCAAAATACAGTAGCCTCTGCAGCAATTATTTTTCAAATTTATTTACTATAATTATGATTTCAATCTTACCTGTGTTTGAACTGCCAGTATGTACACCACTATTTTGATCATTGCTTTTTTTGCTACATTGTAGCATATATGTAGATATGTGTACCTGTCAATTTATAATGTTAATACAAGCTTTAATTTTTACATGTATGTTATTTATTTAGCCTGCCCACGTACCCATTGATCAACATTATCTCGAAAACAGCTGTATCGTAGTATACAGTTACTAAAAAAAAACGGTATTTCATGCTCAAATATATCAATTAGCATAATATGGGCAAGTTCCCAACTCGTAATCTAATCACTTCTGATGCTTACAGAAGTCAGTGAAAATTTTTCTACAGATCATACAAAGTGATAATTCTAGTGATAAACTACAAGTACATAGCATGCTGCAGAAAAACCCTAGTTATATATCCAAATAATATTGCATTGACAATTTGACCTGTGTGTTTTACATTATTTTATTTTATATGTATTTTTTTGTAAATGTTAAAAAGTGTGTTTGATTTTCATCCTGTAATAATGAAGACTTTCAATTACCATTGCTGCTTACTAGCAAATGTCTTAAGTTAAATGTTGGTCTGGGGGCAGCCCCCAGCATAAGCTTGAGATTTGATGAATATTGAAGTAAAATGGAAGCATTTTGTGCAAGTGTCCACATGCAATATTTACAGGTCACTGGATGGTAATGGGCATATTATTGTTGCACATGGACTTTTCTGGAGGAAAGCAATTTCTTTTTATGTGAATAGTTTTCACTATTCTTGTACTTGAAGCGCACTAAATAAATATGCTTATGAGTAAAGGTTTGGTGCATGTATAAGGGAAAACATTGAGACCCAAGAGTCTCATTCTGAGTGTTAATCTGTTCTAACTATGAGGGCGCCTTCTCAAACTGTTTGAGTGATTGAATTTGCGTCGGTGCAACTTAAAATGCTCAAAATGGATATTTCATCAATGTTTTGTGTATATTTAAAAATTTTTATTCTGGAGTAGTGGCAGTTTGTTGTTAATGCTTTTGTCATTGTGAAGGACAGCTGTAATTTTATGCCATGCACAAATTGGTGTAACCTTTGTAAATATTACATGTATTTCAATTGAATTTTGGAAATAAAATGTTTTGGTATAGAAGTTTCGTTTTCAGCAATTTTGACGGTAGAGATGTAAGATACAATTTTATTTTTGCCATATGCCATTTACACAGCCTGGTATGATCTTGCAATCTGAAGGTGATTGCGGATATTACCATCATTAACCAACAACTAATTACTGCATTTACGGTGACCAATAAAATGTCTTTGCAATCTGAAGCCTTAATCAAATTACTGTGGCATACAATTATTCACAACACATTCTTTTTGAATTAACGTGCATTGGATCACTTTCTGTAAGTGTTGAAACATGCATCTCCCTCCTTCATTATTTCAACATACTATTTTGAATGCACTTACGTAAATAACAGAGGTGTTTCTATGGTCAAATATAATGATCCAGCACACAAGTGCAATTTTCGGTTTATGTGTGCATCTAATGATACAAATGTGTTAATCATTCAAAAAAACCCAATAATACTCTCACAGTGTAACCTAGCTCCACTGTGTGCAAGAACAGTTTCGGCAAAATGGGTGTCAGTGATGCAAATATGAATTTTAATAGACTGAAAGTTTTTTATATGCAATTTATTGATGCAACTGTTTTGGAAATCAAAAGAAATTACCATTTTCAGTAACATGTAGAGTAAATTTCAGTCTTAACTTGGATGACTTTCAAACCAGTATAGCGTTAATGAAATAAACCACAAATAAACCTTGACATTGTACAAAAAGCAAACTTTTATTATTGAATATTTTGCAAACAGAAATTAAAGGCACTCATCACTCCTTGTTGTGCTGCATAGAATACTGCTTGTACTACTACAAATTTACGTTGCTTTAAAACCACGTCAACATGGCTTCTATACACAAACAACTATGAACTGCTTATTAAAACGAGTCAGTGAAAACAATGAAATTTTGTAGCAGTGAAAATTTCTCTCCAGGTCTTGGCACAAAGCTGTGTCAGCTACATCTACAAAATGTTGTCATCATGAATGCCATTAAACCATGATAAATTCCTAGCAGCAAAAAGTTAGGTGTCTACAATACTTTCTGCACGAGACATGGAAGCTAACACACTTCTGTGTCCAAGCATGGATGCACCTTAACTCTAACCTTTTCACCACCAAACTTTCTTGCCCAAATTTTTCTGTACTTTTTTCCTATATTCTTTAATATTTCTGGAAATGAACCCTAATTTTGGAGCCTAAAAACAAAATTTGAGTCAATTTTCATTCAAAAACTTTGGCTATTTTTATCCCGATCTTTTGAAGTGCAGACTATAAACAGGACTATTTTGTGAATTTGTGATGAAAACAGAGAACTGGTGGTGAATAGGTTAAGCACAAAAGTCAACTTATGTCACCATCACAAATTTTAAACCAAATAATGTTGCACCAACATTTTACTAGTAAAATAATGATGCTCAAAGAGTTGAAGTTGTATTCTGAAAAAATTCCTGTTTACTGTGTTCTTGAGACTAATACGTTTAATAGTTGATTTGCGCAAATTTAAATCATCCGATATTTTACATCATTATAAATGAACTCAGAATTGAACTATAAGAAAGTAAACATTCAGATTAAGTGAATACGGTAATACTTGATTAGAAAACTTCTAAGTCATCCATCACATTTGTCTCACAAAAACAATTATTGTTTTAAATCAGGGCCAGAGAGATAACAGATTTATGCAATCTTAGAGTTTAATTCTATTCATAAATTGAAATGTATTTGATGAATTCAACATTGGTAATCAAGTACTAGAGGCAAACATTACTAAATTTCAGTTAGTGAGTGATTGCTCATAACAGTACTTATAAAATAAATATATACACATAAATTTTCTATTCAATTCAATTCAATTCACAGTTGCTATGTGATGTTGGTGTTTGCTGATCTGAAAATTCTACTCACTGACAAGTGAAGCTACAACAATTATACAAATAAAAGGATTTCAGCACCCATGATACTGCAAGTATCCCTGTCTCGGATTTACAATTATTTTTATTCTACTGAACAACAATAACAAAATATTATCTATTGTGATTCTGGTTAGGATTAACTTGAGTAACTTGTACTGCCTTGGGATCAGATTATCGTTTCTTTAACACTCTCCACAATAATAAACACATATTCGTCATAGTTGCTCATTAACTATGTAAATTTATTTACTCATTAACTATGTAAATTTATTCACTCATTAACTATGTAAATTTATTCACTCATTAACTAAGTACGGTAAATTTATTCTCCAAATTAATTTGCCATACGATAAAGAATTTGGCAGTAACATTTTCATTACTGAGGCAACTATCGGTTAATATAGACCATGGAAAATACAACTATCATACACTGATTAGAAAATTAGCATATTTAGATTAGTAGCATACTATATTTATCAGCCAATCAACATCACCCACAAACACCAACTGACATTGAAATAAAATCTTAGTAGCATACAAGTCCAGACTATAACTGGTACTCAGGCAGCACTGGGACACTTTAGTGTAAGTCATTCAATTTCTTGTAGGCAGATTTTGCGGAACTAAATTTCAGTGGCTTCTTGTTTTGAGTTACATTTTCACTGCTACAAAATTTTACAAATTTTTTTTCAGACTAGAGTACTGCTAAAAAAAGATGACTGTTGTGAGATTAAAGTGGTTACTGTACTATAACTTCTGAGTGAGTGTTTACGATACTAATTTGCAGCATAATCATGTTTTCCCACAATGCAACAGTATTTTGCATCTTCCTCATCTGCATCCTGCCAAACTACAATTGAGTGTTAAAAACAAAATTATATACCGATAAAAGATAAAAGTCATTAACTACAATAAATACGAAAAAACTAAATGTAAATATTAAACAAGCAGCCTGTCGGCTGAGATAGCTCCGCTGTTAGCAATGCACATGGCAATTAAAGAACAGAAGATATCATTAGAAAATGAACAAATCTGAGAGAGGTCCACATGTAGTACCTATATGTATAATATATCAAAGCAATTGGACTTGCGGTTTTCAACAAGAAGTCGAAAATATCACTTTTTACCAAAAATTACAAAAATATTCATCAAAATTAGAGAATTAAAGATATCATTATGAAATGAACAAATCTGAGAGAGGTCCACATGTAGTACCTATATATGTAATATCAAAGCAATTGGACTTGCGGTTTTCAACAAGAAGTCGAAAATATCACTTTTTACCAAAAATGACAAAAATATTCACCAAAATTAGAAAATTAAAGATATCATTACAAAATGAACAAATCTGAGAGAGGTCCACATGTAGTACCTACATGTATATATGTAATATCAAAGCAATTGCACTTGCGGTTTTCAACAAGAAGTCGAAAATATCACTTTTTACTAAAAATGACAAAAATATTCACCAAAATTAGAGAATTGAAGATATCATCATGAAATGAACAAATCTGAGAGAGGTCTACCCAAGGTACATATACACCAAGTATCAAAGCATTCAGGCTTGTAGTTTTCAAGAAGAAGTCGAAAAAGTAAAACATTGACACGGACGACGACGACGACGGACAATCACTCATATGATAAGCTCCGCTCGACAAAGTCGACAGCGGAGCTAAAAATGGAGAAAATTAAAAAAATATACTTCATGGTGCAAATGGACAAAAGGATGATACATTATTGGAAGTGAATCACAAATGGTAATCGTAAGTACAATTATGTATGCAACAAGTTTATTTTGACTATACGTAGAATCATATTATAAAACTAAATTGCATCTGTTAGGAAACTGGATTTAACAGGGATAGAACAGATTTAATAGCTATGCAATCACAAGCACTTCTAACAGTATTAAATTATTTTAAAAAAGGTATAATTTCACTTGCAAATTTTAATTTTACTATGTATTAAAAATAAACTTAAAAAACAAAACAAAACAAATTGGTGGAATACGCTATCGAGATAACAATTTGTGACATGGATTGCATCATTTTATCAACTATAAAAGCCATACTTAGCACCTTTATTGCTAAAAGAAAGCACATTTGTGATTGGATAACTTCGTAAAGTAATGAGAGCTTAGGGTCATTGTAAGCCAATCAGAAAAAAGGTTACAAAAAAGAAATGGTGAACAACAAACTAAAATTTGCATATTCCAGTACGTCAACTAGGGGGAAAAAGAAGTAAAATAAATCTCTTGTGCAGTTGAAACCTAACTTGTAAATGTGCAGATTAGGACTTTGAAAAACATTTTATATGAACAGGTGAACCAATTACTTTTAAAATTAATAAACAATGTCAATAAAAATAAAAATAAAGAAATCTGGATATTTTTTGATGCAGTCTACACTAAAAACACATACTACGATAGAATTAAAAGTTTCACTGATCGCAAGTTTGTCCTTTACATGCACGTTTACTGCAATTATGAATATGACCGATATAATGGAATAAATTAATTGGCAGTGCCGGAAAAATCTCTCTCTGCTTTTTATAATTACCACTCTTCGAAGAAAATCAGAATGGATTAGGATACTATTGATTGTAAAATCGATCACGTATTAAATTAAGTGTCAGCACAACTTTGATCACCTTTGTATACATTTCAATGTACTTGCAATAGTTAACATACTGGGTAAACCATTTTCAACAAGGATATCTTATCTGATTTGGTAAGCAAAATTTTGCTCAACAAAATTGCACACACCATTTACCTACCCTCTCTAATCACATGCTGTAACCCCATTGGTTGTTGCCCACAATGCAGTTCAACTGAAAGTAAGTATATTTGAAAAATAGGATAACAAGATAAGTGAAAATAATTCACAGTTGAAATGCCTACAAACCAGTAATGTGCATTTAAATAAATAAAGTACCAAAAACTGATGACTTTTGTGATCTATTTTCTATTTTTTATACTAGGATATTCATTTATCAAGAAAATAAAAAAAAAATAAAAAAAAACGAGATGAAAAAATAAATATTTGTTTTAGCTTTAATTTGTTTAAATGCTCTCAGGCACGTCTCACACTCATATATAAACTAACTAAATAAACCTGGTGCTGGGTTTCTGTGTATGTACCGGAATATTATCTGATACAGTATATTAAATATACATGTTTCATTACTATGCTGTAAAGCTTGCACTGCAGATATGTTCAAGTTCAAATTCAAGATAGTGTTAACTATTTAATACAACTTGAAAGCTACTTTTCTGCTAAAAAAAATGACACTGTATTGAGATGCAGAAATAGATAACATAATAATATGAAAAAAAAAAATATTGGCTTCAGTTTTTGTAAATGAAGATGTGTAAAAATTTCATAAATACAACAAATGAAAAATGAAATATAGTTATGAATATAACAATCGGTGGCAATAAAAAAAAAGAATTTTTATTTTTTTCATTTTGAACAAGATAACATTTACCGGTATATATTTATTCTCTAAAAAAATGTTTTAAAATGACACCTACATGTATTGTAATTAAGGTACACAATGCCGTGAATAAATCCTCAAAGATAGAAAACACCATGAGCGGTTTTCATTAAGTTAGGATCGTTTTCCTCTTCTGACTTTTTATCCTTCTTATGTTTCTTTTTCTCTGTCTTGTCTTTCTTCTTCTCCTTTTTCTTATCTTTCTGTTTCTTGGCTTTGCTTTTAACAGTCTCCTCCGTAGTATCCTCCTTGGCATCACCTGCACCAGATGCACCTTCGATCCACCCTGAAGAGAACAAGCATATTTAGAATTCAGCGAATTTGTAGTACAACCATTATGACCTTAAATTTAAAGGCAGACTTTTTAAATTTTATTTTTGAATTCATGTAATAGTGAGCCAAAATTATCTACATGGAACCAATGTATAAATACAGGGTGATATTTCATGTCACATTGTATTACCCTAAGAATATAAATATAATAACCAGATAATCCGGAATAACTATTTGCACGAACAAATATTCAACTTCTTTAGGTGTCGTTTGCATATGCATAGCTTGACATTTTACTCCAAAGATTGTCATTTTGAATCACAAAGGTCATTTCAGCTCAGTATTGCATGAATTAATGCAGCTCATTCATTTTATTCATGATATTTTTTTATCTTTTCGTAACAATGTTAACGCATTAACGCTTTTTAACAGGAAAAATCAGATTGATAATCAAAGAAACCAAATATCTAAATATCTTTATTTTATTGTTTAAATAGTGTCAGCAATATGGATACAAATTACATTATTTTAAGTTATATCATAATAATAATAATGCTTAAAATTAAAACAATAAACAAATAAATGATGGCATTTGTACACTGGTTACAATTATCGATATGCTAGAACAAAAAAAACATGGTGAATCACAGGCTATACAAGATGCAATGCTTGTTAGTTTGCAAAATATGTACACACCAGGTAAACATTAGTCAATTAATTATTGAGTAAGAAACTAAAACAAGCAGCCTGTCGGCTGAGATAGCTCCGCTGTTAGCAATGCACATGGCAATTAAAGAACAGAAGATATCATTAGAAAATGAACAAATCTGAGAGAG